GTATTTAAAACTTATCCTATTTGTTTATTTCTTTTTTGTTTATAAATCAAGAACACATATATTTTGTATCATATTATCACTATGATTATAATAAATTCAATTCAAAGCAATTCTAGTCATTGCTCATATTCATAATGAGAAATATCAATATGAATTATCTACAAGATAATGGACTGAGTAAATCTCAACAAGAATAAGAACAATAAAATAAAAAAGTTTGACTCATATTCATAAACTGTTCAAACGTCAATACTTTTCACTGATCTTATACTGAATTGGAATCTATATTATTAAAAATAATTCGAATATTATTATGACCTTTATTTTAGGTACACAAAATTTTATTTTACAAATAAGTGTAATTCGTTTGGATGGATTCATATTAAAAAAAATTTATATATATTTCTCTTAGTTGATTTTTACAGGATTGATCTGACATGATATAATGAGCAATAGCAAACAAAATGTCGATAATCTTGACGCATGTTTAGATGGATTTATTGCAAATTGATTGGTTATAGATTATCGATTTGGAGTGTGGTCGAAATTGAAGAGATACCTATACTCCACACTCACCTAAGAATTGCTTGTTTGATCTCATTTAAGAATTACAAAACTTGATCGAATGACTTTCCAGCAATGAAATCTATCTATCCTTTACGATCTTCGTCAAGATCAAATATTTCTGACAAATCCAAAATCGAAACAAGAATATGCAATTTCTATAGGCTCTTACAAGACTAAATATAGTTTTCTATATTTTCTATGGACACATATCGAGGTTTCTATAGCTCAATATTCCGAGCATATGTAATCATGTTCATGTAAACAAAAATAGAATCAAAATCCAAAGTATAATTTGACATTGACTTTTTTCATTTCAGGTAATTTTTGAGATTTACAATGTAAAGTACAAGACATTGGATTCTGATTAAAATCTATAAAACACAATTGCAGCATGTTCTTGTGCATCGGATTATCGATGATGCGACTCTTTTATGTTGCTGTGCTACTCAGAACATCATCACACCGTAATACTTGCATTCTAGATTGATTAAGCAACCATTATTCAATGAAAGCAAATTCTCTTGTTACAAAATTTTTTTTCATTTCAAAGAAATGGTCAAAAAAATAAATAAATAAAATGGTTTTTGCATTCATCTAGTCTTGGCGAGTCGTTTAGATTTGAGTTTCTCACATTTTTTTGTAAAAAATGGTCTTGCGTTGACATATTTAAAGAGAAACAGCTTTCTATGGATTACTTTGTGATATTTACAGTAGCTTTGTATTGTTCTTTGATAATGACATATAAACTGTCTTATCTCTATTGAGTCATTATTGATCATGTACTTCTCTGATTGGATTTGGTCTCTTCTTATTTCGACTGCAGTTTGTTCGCATTGTTCCGATTTTAATATTCGAGGAATAACTGATAAAAGATGGGAAATACTTCGCGATTTATTCTGTGATAATTTCCTACAAGAAAGGGATTTAGGTGCATCGATTGCAGTTTATCATCAAGGCAAATTGGTTGTTGATTTATCGGGTGGATGGTTTGCTGAATCACGAAATCAATTCTACGACAATGATACGTTACAGCTCGTCTTCTCAACATCAAAAGGTCTAGTGGCTACAGTTGTTGCTCTTTATGTACAACGAGGCCTCCTTGACTATTCAGAGTTCGTTACGAAATATTGGCCAGAATATGGACAACACGGAAAGAAAAATACTATGGTGACAGATATTCTTTCTCACGGTTCTGGATTGCCGGATGATTGGTCAATAGACGAGCGATATCTTAATTGGACAACGATGATACATATACTAGAGCAACAAACACCGATATGGCCTCCAGGAACAGTTCATAGTTATCAACCTTATACATATGGTTCGTTAGCTGGGGAAGTTGTGCGGCGCGTTGATCCCCAAAAGAGAACTTTCGGTCAAATCGTTCACGATGAAATAGCAAATAAAATAGATATTGAATTTTATGTTGGCCTACCGTCAGAACAGCAATATCGTGTATCACAACACGTTCTTGATCTAAATGTAAAAATCATACTGACTGGACCCATGCTAACACCGTTTAACTTTCTCAACGAACCTCGGACACATCGAGCAGAAATATCAGCTGTAAATGGAATCACCAATGCTCGATCACTTGCAAAACTCTACGCATCACTCATCATTGATATCGATAACGGAAAACACAAACGATTAATCGACGAAGAAATTATACAAAAAGCGACGAAACCAAATACACCACAGAATGAGGTCGAATCCAATACATCTTCTATTCCGTTTGGCATGGGTTTCATGCTTTTTGATGAAGTTTTTACATCACTAGCTCTGGGAACATTTGATCATTATGGTAATGCTCGACTTCAATCTTACTTCGTATTCACATGTCCATTATAGGAGCGGGTGGCAGCATTGGTTTTGCTGCTCCTGCAAAAAAATCTTTCTTTCGCCTATGTTATGAATCTGTTCAATTCAGAATCAACACCTGGTACTGATCTTCGAGTAAAGATGATATTAGAAAAAATTATGACAATCATCAATTCAAATGATTAGCGTTGCTGGAGATGTGAATTCGATCTACTAAAACAATGAACTGCATTGATCTCGTAGAATACTAAAAGCTAGATTATTTGTCATCATCAAAGTTGATTCATCTGAAAGTTTAATAAAAAATCATCAATTTTTGTTGGTACTCTTAAAATATTGTGAATAGAAAATTTCAGTTTTTTGTGGGACTATCTTGAACAAATCAGATAATTCAGTTCAGTTGATGCATAATATTAAAACAATTCCCTTCAATAAGATTCAATTGAAATCAACATAGATTTATTATTTCTGAATTTTAATTGAGAAGAACGGTTTTCGTCTGTATTCAAACGAGTGATATTGGAAGCATCCATCTGTATAAGATCCAAGGGGGGAAAAGCAAGACTTCACCGTACTTCACTTGTACTTCCTCTGTACTAACTCATACTTCACTTTACTTCACTCCATGTCACTTGTACTTCACTCGAATTTCACCGTACTTCAAGCACAGTTTTGAAGTACTAGTGAAATAGGAGTGAAGTATTGAAGTCGCGCTTTTTCTTCCTTGACTATAGCTGATTTAGTAGGATCGTTTGGTGTCGTTCCATCATTAATCTTACAACAAAAAGTGTAAGGTTGCAAAATTGAACTTTGCATTTACTTCAGTAACAAATGGATGGCGTGAGGTAGGTATTGATGTAATTTTTTATTTACACACATTCACACTCAAAATGAACGAAGAATTTTTAAAGTAAAACTTGTTGATTTTAATATATCAAGTTTAGCTCCGCAATAAAAATTAACAGCGAAAATACCAGTATATAATGATCAGATCATTCCAATAATTATTGTCAATCATTTTATTTCGATGTCATACGATCAATAATATAATGAATGGAATCACGTTCTGATGTAATGTATTACTTTCAAATAGAATAGCAGGAAAATCGATTTGGTGCAAGTAAGTTTAATTGAAAAGTGATTATACGTATTTCCATAAAAGAATAGTTCGACACATCTATAGCCAACATACAGGAAAAAATTGCGTCTAAAAGATTGAAAATGGTTAATTTTGTTTCGCTTATTTATTGGCATTGATACAAATCTAACAATCAGGAAAAGAATCACGAAAGATCCACGTGATATGTTTTGTTTTATAACCTATTATTATAATTTTATGGAAAGTCATGATCATTCATATTCGTTGGATTTCTTGAATTCTGTGAATCTTTATAAGTTTTGGATGTAATTTGTTTAGGTTTTAGGTAGTAGATTTAAGTTGAAATTCAATATTCGTATGTTCTTTTAATCAAACTTGTTTTATATTTAACTTCATGATTAGTGACAGATCCAGAATTTTCTGAAGAAGGGTACAAATGAGACAAGAATACCTAATTTTTTAGGGAAAATGTTCAGAAAAAGAGATGAACTCAAATTCAAACTGGCTGTGATTGCAAGTATTTCCTTTCTTCTCCATGAATCCACTACTGTTTAATGTCAAGTCTTTTGAGTTCCGAACAGTATTCGTCAATGATTATATCAACACGCCCAACTTATTTTCAAAATACTTTAATTTCACTTGGCTTTATTTTAGATTAATTTAGTACTATTTCTTTTTAGAACATCACTAGGAGACGACGAAAAATGAAAATAAATGATCATTGAATATTACTGGAGTTTTACTGTTTGTCTTTGGAAAAGTTATTAAGATTAATTTGAAGTAGAAGTCATCGAAAATTTTTTTCATCAAATCATTCTAATGAATTTTATCAATAGATAAAAGAAAAAAATCAAAATCAATAAGATGTTTATTGCTTTATATTGAATCAACAAAAATACGAAGAACAACAAATACGACATGAAAATACTTCAATATTCTTGTGGATGACAATGCTGTTGTTTTGGATTAAAGGATTCATTTATACTATTTGTTAAATTTACGTATTCGTTTTTTACTCTACTAGAAATAAAACAAATATTTTCAAGAAATATAAATTTAACAAACAGCAATATATTTATTTACTCCTACTGTAGTTTGTATCATTCTTGTTGAGGGTATGGGTAGCGCAGGTGGATTTACTTCTTTTACTTTTTAAGCAAAAAAACAGAAGTTTTAGAGGTGAAGGCTAGGTTTTTTTATAATCAATAACTTCATCCATGTTAACTAGCCATATTCGACGCTAGAGGATAAATCACGAAATCCTGTTTGTAGGAGAATTTTTAGCATACAAATCAAAGCTTTTTTTTTGAGAAAAAACGTTTTTTTTATCATATACGGTTCAATACAACTCGATAGACTGATTATAATTATTACTCTTATTTTGCCATAAGATCATATCGCCTTCGCAAAAAATTGGGATTTGTGAGCAAAAACTTCAGTTTTGGGAATACCCATAGCACTGGCTCTGCTCATCAAAACGAAACATCGCTATGATCAACGATGAATCAGATGAAGAAAAATAATTGGTGAGAGTTTTAGCTTGATGGAATTAGAACTGTTTCTTACGTTTAGGAAACATGAGACCACCAATTTAGGGACTTACTTTCGGTCTAGTCATTACCTTTTTTCTATTCCACTTCTGATTCAATTGAAGCAATTTTTTCATATAATGAAGCTTATGGTTCAATCATTAGTTTTCGATAGTTTTTCATTTTGAAATATTTTCACAGCTTGATAACGAAAATGATTTTCAAAAAGTTACAAATTTACATAGAGATTTTTGACGGTCAGTATCCGTAGCATTTAGCTTGGTTTCTGGAAATCTTACTTTGGGATAAGATAGACAAGCCATAAATATATTCATTCCAATATTTAAACTTTCACAAATACAAATGTCGGTCATGTTCGTCTGGTTGCCCACTGTGTACAGACAGATGAATAACTCTTTTTCAATCAAACTTTGTGTTTCATTTTAGCAAGCATGTTTAATGAAATTTTTATCAATTAGTATCAATAAGTATGATATACGTTAATCAATTGATCTGTTGGAAAAGTGAAATATTGTTCAACACAGTTGTAAAAATCGAAAGATTATCTAGAAACGAACCTAATATACATGTATTTTTTATACAAGAAATAAACAAATAACAAGGAGATATGAATTAAACCAATGAAAAGAAAAATGTTATACTAAATGTCAATCGATGTTTTTAATATAATTTTGTTTGGAGTATGTTTTGATTAATAAGATCACGTACTGATTTATTTTCAGGAAATTCACTTGCAATTATCAAACTAAGCCAAAAAATGGTAGAAAATCCATTTATTCGATAGATAACGAGTCGATCCTAAAATTGAGTAGAAAAATATAAAGGGAATATTCTTCTTATTTTTATATCAAGAATGTTTATTTAAAATCTTAAGTTCATTACAAAGACGTCATTAAAAGAATTTCCACAAGTCTTGAAACAGTAAATACTATAATACTTCTTTACAGATCAGTTGAGATAGCTCAACTACGTATATATAACAGAGATCGAAATGAGTAAGAAAATCTCGATTGGACTCATACCGAAAACCAAAGAATTCCTTCCTTATCATGAGTAAATTGTGTCTGCAACTGGCGTAAAATTTTACTTAACTTTTCGTGTCTGTATCTGCTAAATCTATCGATTTAGAGAAATTTGAAAGCTTCACAAAGGAACCAAAGTATATATTAGGACTTGGATTTTATAAGAAGAAATGTTTTCTTTTTTATCGATTGGTAAAGATATTATAGTTTCTCGCATTGGATAACTAACGTTGCTGTAAGTATCATCTACTTTGAGGAAGACGCAAATATTAGGAAGATGAATATACAAACATCTAATTTCAGTCGAAGTCTATCTCAATTTCACAATCGTTGGATTGGAAAACAGCGATATTTGGCTTTTCAGGCAAGTTTTACAAAGTCAGATGTCACATCAATTATCTAATCAGGTTACGTAGCACAGTAACAAATCATCAAATTTACAATTACCTATAACTGTGCTACTGATTGCTCTCAATATTGTATGAAACTAGAAAGTTCTTCTAAGTATGTGAAAATAGTAGTAGTCGTGAAAACTGCTACACATGGATCTGCTTTATCTAAAATTATCTATCTTAAAAATAAGCCAATAGAACCTCACTTTTGTTTTAGCTGCAAGCAATATTTGATCTAATACACTTCTCACACAAAAGCATTGATATAGTTTACAAAATATACGAAGTTAAATAAAGAGAGTTGACTTCCATTCAACTTCGGTTTTGGTTGCTGATATCTAATGATACTGGAAATTAAACTTTTAATTGAGATTAGTTTTGAATATTTCCATCCGAAATTGCCTTTCTTGTAGATAAATACATACTTTAGTTGATGTTTCTTGATTGACATTAGCGACTATGTTATATCCTAATTTAATGAGAAAAACGAATCATATTAAGAGCATAATGCTAATAATAAAAAAGTCATTGCTCGTTTACTTTTCCCACCAGTTGTATGATTTTCTTCCTGAAAAATTCAGATAAACTAGTATATATTCAATTATTCTACTTACCTTCAACATAATTGTGTTTTACGCAGACCAAAAATATAAATTGAACAGTAAACACGAGCAAAAAGCTACTAATTAACCATACAACAGTTGCAATCGAGTAACTCATGAACATTATCATGAAGCAAAGTAGGCAATGATATCGATAAAGAAAAGCCTAAAATTAAGAAACTCTATCCTTGATTTTAATTATACTTTATACTTATGTCACTTGATATACTATCCATATGTTGATCACATATTTCTGCCAGTCCGCAATTGATAACAGCATTGATAATAATGATAAAAATCTATCCCGAAAGTTCGACTGTGTCACTCCATTCTGATTTTGGGTAAAATATTCGAATAAACGAGCG